CTTCTACATTTTACTTAGCAGCCTAATCATCTTTTGTGGGATGATAAGTGGTGACATGTAGATGTGCAGTAAGGTTTCAGAATTTTGATTTTGCCCCAGGGGGTCAAATGGGGGTGAAAAATGACGTTTTTTGTGCAAAAAGTCCCATCTTCCCTGAACTCCTTCTACATTTTACTCAGCAGCCTAATCACCTTTTGGGGGATGGTTGGTGGTGTCAGGTAGATGTGCAGTAAGGTTTCGGAATTTTGCTTTTGTCCCGGGGGGTCAAATGGGGGTCGAAAAATAAAGTTTTTTATACAAAAAGCCCTGTTTTCCCTGAACTTCTCTTACATTTTACTCAGCAGCCTAATCATCTTGTAGGAGATGGTTGGTGGGGTCATGTAGATATGCAGTAAGGTTTCAGAATTTTGATTTTGCCCCGGGGGGTCAAATGGGGGTCGAAAAATGATGTTTATTATGTTTAAAGACCTGTCTTCTCTGAACTCCTCTTTCATTTTACTCAGCAGCTTAATCATCTTTTGGGAGATGGTTGGTGGTGTCATGTACATGTGCATAAAGGTTTTGGAATTAAGATTTTGCCCCAGGGGATCAAATGGGGGTCGAAAAATAACGTATTTCATACAAAGAGCCCTGTTTTCCCTGAACTCCTCTTACATTTTACTCAGAAGCCTCATCATCTTTTGGGAGATGGTTGGTGGGGTCATGTAGATGTGCAGTATGGTTTTGGAATTTAGATTTTGCCCCGGGGGGTCAAATGTGGGTCGAAAAATGACGTTTTTTGTGCAAAAAGCCCTGTCTTCCTTGAAGTCTTCCTTAATAATACTCAGAAGCCTAATCATCTTTTAGGAGAGTTAAATATTTTGAAAATTATGTAAAACATCAACGTCAAGGGGTAACAAAATGTGTTTGTGAAACACTATGCACCCGGCGTCAACAAAGTTCGAAAAAGCTATTTTTAGCATATAGGTCACAGTCAAGGTCACAAGGTCATTGACCTAAGAACTTAATTTATGCATACTAAATATAGTCCCTGTCTCCTATGGTTCAAAAGTTACGGCAAAAAGTAGAAAAACCTATTTTTAGTATAAAGGTCACAGTTAAGGTCACATGGTCAAAGACCTTGGTGTTGTTTGAAAGAACTTTATTAGTGGAGTATGCATACTAAATATGAAGTCCCTATCTCTTATGGTTCAAAAGTTATGGCAAAAAGTGGAAAAAGCTATTTTTAGCATATAGGTCAAGGTCACAAGGTCATTGACCTTGATGTGAAGGAACTTTATTAGTGCAGTATGCATACCAAATATGAAGTCCCTATCTCCTATGGTTCAAAGGTTATGGCATAAAGTGGAAAAAGCTATTTTTAGTATAAAGGTCACAGTCAAGGTCACATGGTCATTGACCTTGGTGTTGTTTGAAAGAACCTTTTTAGTGAAGTATGCATACTAAATATGAAGTCCCTATCTCCTATGGTTCAAAAGTTATAACAAACAGTTGAAAAACCTATTTTTAGCATATAGGTCACAGTCAAGGTCACGAGGTCATTGACCCTGATGTCATTTGAAAGAACTTTATTAGAGGAGTATGCATACTAATTATGAAGTCTCTATTTCTTATGGTTCAAAAGTTATGACAAACAGTTGAAAAAACTATTTTAAGCATATAGGTCACAGTCAAGGTCACAAGGTCATTGACCTTGATGTCATTTGAAAGAACTTTCTTAGAGGAGTATGCATACCAAATATGAAGTCTCTATCTCTTACGGTTCAAAAGGTTTGGCCAAGGTTAAAGTTGACAACAGACAAACAGATTAACAGACAGGACAAAAACAATATGCGCCCCGAAAAAATTCGGGCGCATAAAAAAACATCGCATGCTGGGAAACACCTTGAATTCTTATGAGTAATTTATGTACATGTCAAATGTGAGAGTCATATCTCATCTCAATCAAAAGTTATAAGCAAATGCAACATTTTTGAAAAGTAGGTTAGGCTTGATTGCTTCAAGGTCAAGGTCACAGTGTAAAAGTCATGATTTATTTGGAAAGGTCTTATCACAGGTAATAATATACATGCATTATGATATGAATGCCCTAACTTTTCTCTTTCAAAATGATGAATTTATAACAATTTAATTTCTTTTGCAAGTTGGTCAAACTTCTAGGTCACATGTAAAAAAAACAAAAAACATGCCATTCTCATAATATACTAATAAATATGCATATAAATAAATAAATATACTAATACATAAGTTTAATATGAATGTCTCTTCTCATTCAGTAGATATGACTGTGATAACCAAGGTTAAATTTATTGAGTCAGATGGACTGAGTCTGACATACAAATGTACATATTTCTATATGAATTGGGTAAAATTGGCCCAGTGGTTCTAGAGAAGTTAAAAATGTAAAAAGTTTTCAGACAAACAGATGGACAACACGTCACGACAGACATTATATGCTAAGGAAACCAAAAAAGCTCAAATGAGTGTTTTGAAAGGGTTACAATATGGTTGGAGTATTTGAAAAGCTGTTTTTTTTTTTCCTGCAGAGATATGCATGACCAACATATTCATGTTTTATATTTTCTTTAGTGATTTGTTTGTTTGTTGTGAATACATCTTCCCTCATATGGAGACACCACCAAATAATAATGAAGATAAGATGTGTTTGTGAAACACTGATGTCCCAGTATGGAAGCCTATGGCGAAGGTTGAAGTTTCTCAAATATATGTCAAAATCAAAGGTCAAGGTCAAAGGGTTCAAATTGTTAGTATCAGAAGAAAGTCTTGTCACAAGGAATGCACATGTGAAATAAAGAAATCCCTAGTAATTCCTGTTCAAAAGTTAATTGCCAAGGTTAATTTTTTTGTTTAAGTGGTTCAAACTCTAGGGTCAAGGTCAAACATATTTATACCTGTTGACAGTTCACAATGAATACAATATGTCATGATAAGTATGAAAGCCCTAGCACCTACTGATCAAAATTTAGGCAGAGTTTAAAGTTTTGTATTTTTCTTGTAAAAATGTGTATCCCATGTCAAGCGATCAGAGGTAAAAATTAATGGTACCCAAATAAAAGGTCTTATTAAATTGTCACAAGAAATAAACCTATAGAATGTGGAAGCTATTTGTATAGCCCATCCCACTTAAAACTTATGGGCAAGCTAGCTAGGATTTAATTTCTGCAGACTTATAGACAGACATACTATAAACACAAGAAACAAAATATGTATAATAATTAGTCAAATGGAAAAAAATATACTATTTAACTGGAATCACAAAATACATTGTTATTTCAGGGACAGGAAGTGGGTAGGAAGATTGGAATCCCCCCCCCATCAGGTGGCATTTGCTTTATTTAAACAAGACTATATACTGTAGCAAGTAAAATTAAAAAATGACTCTTGACATCCTCTCCCTGTAAACTTAGAAAACATTGACCTCACTATCATTGTTTTTTTATTTGTTTATTTGTTTTCATTTTTTTTCTCCTGCTTTTCACGAAATTCTGGGCTGGAATTTTTTTGACTGAGATGTGAACCCCCCTCCCTACACCCGAAAAAAATTCTGGATCCGCACCAGTATTGGCAGTAGCTGAATGTCACATCGACAACGGGAGATAATTTCACATATGAAATATGATGATCTTTGACCCTTTTTAAACTTTAACCTAATCGTTTGGGTGTATTTTACCCCCCACTATACTAAAACTACTTACCGACTCCCTGTGTCTCGTCAACTAAATCCAATTATAACACAAAATGAATTAATACAATGCACATCAGACTGCACCAATGTGCCATTTTGGCGAACCTTCGTCGATTCCATCACCTTATCAGATGAAGTGGGTATCGGCCGAGGTGTGCCAAATGGTGTTTAATCTATAAATATGATAATGGGTGACGCAACGTGATGTGATGTAGAAATTTACATGTTCACATGTACAAGAACAAATTTTAAATTAATTCATAACAAACGTTATTAAATTTTAACAAACCTTTTCCATCTAGCCTATTCCAAAAAGTATGTGCTGTGTGATTGTGGTGTCGAGGGGGGGGGGGGGGGGTTAGTAAATGAAAAAAGGTCCTATTATGAGCAAAACATATATCAAAATCTAATTTCAGACGCGGATCCAAAATTTTTTTCCGGGGGGGGGGGGGGGGGGGGGGCGGGGGGTCCACCTCAGTCAAAAAGAAATCCTAAATGTCAAAAACCTATATATTGTGGGGGGTTGGGTGGGGGTAGTGGTGACTTCTATTGCCGCAAATGTTTAACTTTTCATACCTATTTTACACATATTCGTGTTTACCAGGGGGGGGGGGGGGGGGGGGGGTCTGCATTTTCCAAGGGGGGGTCCATTGTAACCTTCCCCCCCCCCCCCCCCCCCCCCCCCCCCCCCCCCCCCCCCCCGGACAGATCCGTGCATGAATTTACATCATTAATAAAATTCAGACTGGTATATAATGAATTAAACATGTATAAAATAAATATAAGAGGTTCTGAGTTATAGGTCACAGGGTCTGAGAATTTCATACTCAATTTGATGAATACATGTAAATTATAGAATTATTTTGACTATTTCTTTGGAAAGCCGCCCAATATGTATGAGCATGTATTTAGAGGCAAACACCTTAGTGCGGGTATTACTGTCTCATGACAGCATCTAGTTAGTATTAGAATTTAAAGGTTTTCTTTTTTAAATTGCATACTGTAGTATTTATCGGTGAGGTAGGTCCTGCATATATTTTAAATGTTTATCATATTTTTATTTTATCCTCTATTCTAAATTCATTATATTTATGTTGTTTTGGTCAAGCAAGTTAATTTTGGTAGTATGTACAATAGCCCAGTACATAAATATGATTTTTACTGTAGCTTGCAATACATCCTTAGGTTGTGTTACTGTTGGTGTATGGACAGAGTGTTACATGGAGAGCGGTGGAGTCAGGACACAGGGGAATAGGGAACCTGATCAGTTATACCACACGACTTTTGTTGATTATGCAGCAGACTTCATCATAAATCAAGGAGGATGGGTAAGAAAATGTTCTCTGTAAGATATGCAAAGAGTGACTAATTTATCATCTTCAAAAATAAAATGCAGACCTTTTGAATACAATTCTTGCAAAATTATATTTCTTCATCTTGGTTTTTGTGTTTTATTTTGTATTAATAAATATATTTTTACAAGATATTTTAATATGTCATCCACATCAGATTAAACTAACACCTCCTTGGATTTCATTGGTTGTTCTCTTAACATCATATATAGGAAGCTGTCATGAGTTTAGAGTCCTCCGTAGAAACTTCACCAGACCAACAGATAGGCCAGTACCCTTTAAATTCCCAGCACGTCACTGACCAATCACATACCTCAAATCAGTCACACCACCCACTACATTCCAAACAGCTCAACAGCCAATCACATTCCATGTACGAGTCATGTGCCATGTCAGTGAAACCAGGTGACCTCTTCAGTAACCATCAAAATGTCACTGCCAATAACAGCAGTTACCATGACAGCGAGGTGATGTCAATATTTGTCGACCCTACTCAGGTAATTGAGTCTGTGTCACAAGGAAGCTTGTCTGCGGCAGAATCTGATGAGGCCTCATCACCTGGTGTACCGTCTGTCTCGGCAATCATAAGAAAATGTGATATCTCCTCGAGGAAGGTTCCTCAAGGCTGGGATACCATGTGTTTACTAGATCTAGAAGTGAAGACTACTGGTCAAGTATGCTCATGATGTTTTTTAATGTTGGTACTTTGATTACCATTATTTATTTGTCTCAAAGTGGGAGGAGCATTTAATTGAAATTAAGTTGTTAGCTATTTAATTTTGCTCAATTCTAAGTTTGTGTTTTGTTGTGATTCATGATTGATGCTTAATAAGCAGATATATGATTTGGTTTCATAAATGAATCAGAATTTATGTTAAATGTAAGTCTATTTTATTATATTGTTTATTTTTACTAACAGTATATATATTTTCAAGAAATATGAATTTAAACACAAAAATGTGCACCTAAATAAGCAATATGTGTTCATACGAGTTTTATTTTTCTTTAGTGATTATTGTTGCTATAAGTGTAAAATAAAAGTGCATGCAATTTGTAAATTATTTTTATTACTGCATTTGCATTGACATTTATGTTTGTCAAAGAAAAGGGACTGCTTTAAGGAAGTGAAAATCACATTAGTTTTTTTGATATATAAGGAAGATGGATTATCTGTTGTTGATCTGACTTTTTATTGCCTTAACATTCCTTTTGCATGTAATTCTTTTCATATACTTTCCCATTGTCTCTACATTTGACCATAAAGTTTTTATTTGGTGCATTTGGAAAAAAATATTTTCAAATAAAAAAAAAATGCCTTATTCAAAATATGTCTATATATGTACTGTAGATCACTAAATTTTCGCGACACCTTATTTTCGCGAGATAGTCATTGACTCTTAATTAGCGAGACAAAATTTTCGCGAATTGTGGTTATTGCTCTATATAATCTTAAGGAATACTATTATACGTGAGAATGAAATTTTTCGTGAGCATGCTGTCTCGCGTAATTACGTGAAAATAAAGTTCTCGCGAATAAAAAGTGATTTACAGTATTCCTAATAACTAAAGATTTTTTTTTTCAATAGGACTTTTGTTGTGCCAAATCCCTGTCATAATAAACACTTATTTGCCCTTAACTTTATGATTTATGTCCATGAAGTTAATTTTGGGAAAACCTATTTTCTCTCTTGTTATTTGTGACAGTCACTGTTTATAATACTATTTTAAGGGTTTCAAACTGAGCTTTTTACAGGTGATGCATAAGCAGAGTTGTTAAAACAAATCAATACATTTAATCATAAATCAGCATTATTGATTGCAAATAAGAAATGAGAAAATAGTTATTGCCATTCTGATGCAATCTTTGCATTTTCTTTTATGTTAACTTATCATTTTGTTAAATTTTATTACATGTTACATGAAATACATTACAAAAGTTGTTTTTGTATCAGTCTATTATGATGTAAGAATCAAAAGCTTTCATTCTTATTTAATTTTAATGTTTGTTTAACTATGTCAAGTATTAGTTTATTCTAATGCAATTGTTTTGTAAAATACTTTTTTATTGGTTAATACACTGATGTTTGAAGCAGTAAAACAAGCATTAACAAGCGTGAAAGCTTTTTCATTGTGACGTCATAATAGAGCGACACAAAAACACAATGCTCCGTGACGTATTTCATGTAACAATTCATCAAAATAAGACGTAAACAAGAAACAAAATGCATGGATTGCATTAAAATGGGAATAACTGATCTTCTAATTTGGTATTGCGACCGTTAATGCTGATTTAACGGTCGCAAATATCGCTTTACCGGCTCCGCTTACGCGTCGCCGGTAAAACTCAGTTTGCAACCATTTAATCAGCATTGACAGTCACAGATACCAAATTAGAAGATAGTTATTCCCTAAGTATAAAATCAAAAGCATTTTACTAACAGTTGTATTAGAATATGACCTAACCACCTTAGTATGTTCTATAGTTGATTTACCGACAGCTAATCAGAGGGTTAAAGAGTCTGATGTAGGCAGGTTCATTATAAATTATTAAAAAAAATTTTCATATCATTTATTTATAACAGATTCCACCTTCATAGAAGGCTTTAAAGAATTGTTAGGTTTGTATAATCAGTGTCTGAAAGGAAATATTCCGAAAGTGTAGATGAATAACTTTTATTTATGGTTGTGTTTGTGGAAAAGTTGATACATTTTTGTTATTTGTTTCTCTGCTTTTTATTTACTTAACTGAAAACAGTTGGAGTTATTTTGTCTCTAAATGGTGTATATTTTTCTAATTAGAGTCTTTTTCTATGTGTGATTTAGAAAAACATCAAAAGAATGTGCAGTATTTTAAGTTTTCCTTATCTTAAACTACTGTTTCATGTACTACTTTTTTTGTTACCAAGTTGAAAATATAAACATGTTTTGTTACAAAAATTATAATTATTTTATGAAAATTGACAGAGGAGTTTCTTATAACTGCTGAACAAGGAACAAAAAATCAGGGCCAACTTAGTATTTGATGATTGTTTTAAGAAATAAGATATCAATTTTAGAGTTTCATTTGGGTATGACAGGAAGTTGGTCACATGATCAAATTCTATAATGCCCGAAGGGTGTTATTGTAGATTTGATCACGTACCGACTTCATGTCACATCCCAATGAAACTCTAAAAACATAGGTAATCAGAGATTACAGATCTCACCTCAACGAATGTTGTCTTTAAGTAAGGCAAGTCACACAATTAACCAACAAAAAGTGTATATTCCAAAAATGAAAATATTTAAGCAATTTTGATCTGATACTTTGAAATAGACCAACATAAAAAATTTAAACTACAGCAAAACTCGGTTATAATGAAGTCACTGAGACCTATGAAATTACTTCGCTATATCCGTAATTTGTTATAACCGTATAAGAAATTCATTAAATTTATATACCTGGGGATCCAAGATGACTTCGCTATAGCCGTAAATTCGCAATAACCGTGTACGTACTAAACAAGTTTTGCTGTAATTCTTCTTCATGAAAATGTAGTTAAAATCCAGCATCTGAGTTTTCATCTCTTGATGCAACATTTGTGCAAGTTTGGTTTTTACAATGTTATAGAAGCCTTATAGTTTTCTGGAAAAAGACCTGCACTCATAACTTTTACCTGGTCTATTATCTGAAAAATGTATGTCGAATTCAGCATCTAAAGCAATTCCATTAGTGTGCATCCTAAGATGTATCATTCATGCAAGTTTGCTCATTATAGGGCTCATAGTTAATTGGAAATGAAATATGCATCAAAAACTAACATTTTCACTCATCCACAAAAAGTAGGTCAGTTTCAGCATCCGAAGCAAGCCCGGTAGTATGCATCCTTAGATGTATCATCCATGCAAGTTTGGTCAACATAGAGCTTATAGTTACTTGGAAATGAAACCTTCACATAAAACTTTAACCTGTTCACTCAACCGGAAAATGTAGGTCAGATTCAGCATCCGAAGCAAGCCCGGTAGTATGCATCCTTAGATGTATCATCCATGCAAGTTTGGTCAACATAGGGCTTATAAGTTACTTGTAAATGAAACCTACACAAAAACGGCACCAAAAATGTTAACCTGCTCCAGAAACATTAACCTGGTCATTTCTTTGCTGAAATTGCAGCATCTGAAACTTTGACTGGTACAATGAAACACACTAGAACCATCTTCCATGCATGTCTAATCAATAAAGGACATAGAAGTACTTACAAAGAAAACTGCTCGAAAAAACTTTACCTTAAGGTCAAGATCTAGTAAATGAAAGGTGCCTACAGATTTATCAAACTTGAGAAATAAATTCCTTTAATGATGCTTTGCAACTTTAGCTTGGTCAAATACGGTGTTTCGGGGCATAATTTGTAGGTAAACAAGATGAAAAATTGTATTTTACACTGTCATTTTCATTGAAAAATTAAGAAAACTAGTCATGAATAGATGGGAGTTTTTTTTTCATATTCGACTAAGGAAATGTATCCAGATTGCCTACAGTCTCTCAGAAAACGGTACTTAGTATGTTCATGGCCTCTTCTTTAAATCAATATCAAATTTAATATAGGTATCTGGTTTACTTTTCATATGATTTCGAATTGAATGTCATGAAAATACCCTATTTTCTACATAATTCTGCTAAAACCGTAAAGTACGGGAAAAAGAAAGTTGAAATTGATTATGACGTCATAATGGATCTAGCACCAAAAAAATAGTCTGAAGTTATTTACTAGATCTTGACCTTAAGGTCAAGATCTAGTAAATAACTTGAGACTATTTTTTTTGCGCTAGATCCATTATGACGTCATAATCAATTTCAACTTTCTTTTTCCCGTACTTTACGGCTTTAGCAGAATTTGTAATAAATAGGGTATTTTCATGACATTCAATTTGAAATCATATGAAAAGTAAACCGGTTACCTATATTAAATTTGATATTGATTTAAAGAAGAGGCCATGAACATACTAATTACCGTTTTCTGAGAGACTGTAGGCAATCTGGATACATTTCCTTAGTCGAATATGAAAAAAAACTCCCATATTCATGACTAGTTTTCTTAATTTTTCAATGAAAATGACAGTGTAAAATACAATTTTTCATCTTGTTTACCTACAAATTATGCCCCGAAACACCGTATTTGACCAAGCTAAAGTTGCAAAGCATCATTAAAGGAATTTATTTCTCAAGTTTGATAAATCTGTAGGCACCTTTCATTTACTAGATCTTGACCTTAACCTGGGACGCCGACGCCGAGGGTATTACATAAGCTCCCCCAACTTCGTTGAGGTGAGCTTAAAATATTTTATTTCATATACTTAGTATTTATATTTTACTTTTATTCGTGTTACAAGAAAAAAATAGGCGCTATTTGGACATTGTTTTAGAAATGCAACATAACGTAACTACAGCGTCATATGACGTCACAATCAAGACTTTCTAATAGTCTCTTGCGGTTTGCCCAACTGCATGTCATTGAAAATTGAATGCCAATTCATTAATAATTTACATTGCCATATAGGGAAAGACATTAGCAAATGTAAATATTGTTTTTTACATCCTATTTGAGAATTTTTCGCTGTCGTGCATGCAACTGTGAAGGGCTTCATATTTAGGTCCTAGTCATTACATTGAAAATTAAAGTTTATATAAAAAAATATCAAGCTTTAA